TTGCCGCGCCCGCCTCGGGCTCCGGGGTCTGTTCCCCGCCCGCAACCCACTGGTTGCGCTCAGGGGCCCCACAACTCTGGGGTCCCTATGAGGCCTTCTCCAACCCCTACAGCCTCACCCAAGCCTCCGGTGTAATATGCAAGCCTGAACATAAACTAGAGCCTCCTGGCTAAACCATAGTGCCCCATCCTCTCAGGGCTATCGTGAGCTGTACTTGCAAGTCAGGCCTCTTGCCACATCTCAGCTGAGAGAGCTCCTGCCTCTCCGGCTGCTGGCAGGGAACTGCCAGCCTGGTCTTAGCCCTTGGCTTTATAAGGGCCAGGCCCCGCCTCCTACAGGCAGTTGGCTCCCCTTAGCTGCCCCGGCAACCCGCAGCTGGGCTCGTTACCCTGGCGACACTCAGCTGGGTTCATTATGACCTGCCAGGGCTCTCTCTCCCTGGCAGTTTCTACTCCCTAGGAGCAGAGCTCCGAGGTGCTCTGCGACATTGATGTTTAACTTGAATATTTAAAGGACCATAGCTATTTTTTTAAATAGAAAAGTGAATATCAACTTTGTCCTTAACCATTAGAATTGGGATCTAACCTTTATCTTACTTTCCATTCATACAGTAACCATTACTTTGACTGCAGTATGGTTCAAATGAAAAGAGAAAAAATCTTTAGTTAAGTGGTTTCCAGATGGTTAGTGCAGTACCAGGGAATTCACAATCCGTGTTTTTTTCTGTCTTCTAGCTCATTGGTGCATGTAGAACAAAGACATACGTTCAGGAACATTCTGTTGTTGACCCTGTGAAAAAAACAATGGAACTTCAGTCCAGTAATGTAAGTATTTTTCATCAGTAATTGATAGTCAGTAGCAGAATAATGTGTTTTGAATTGAATAAACAATTTGAAAAAGAAAATTTTCAAGGAAAAAAACAAAACATAACAATAGTAAAATTATAGTTCCTTTTTATTTCTGCGTACCATTATTAGAAGATACTTGATACTGTCAAACTTGCCCAACAGCTCTCCTAACAGCACAGTTGGTCCAGTAAAAGAAAAATATTGTGAAAAATCCTTGCCCCTCTACCATTATAGAGGGAATTATACATTTTCAGAGAATAAGCAGTTAAGAAACACCTGCCTTACTGCTTAGCAAAGTACAGAGCATCTGACTTTTAAACACATTGTTTTGTACACACTATTCTACACTGCTTTGCGTTGTATAATAGTTGCCTCAGTACAATACCTGGTCTGTACATTGTCATTGTAAAAATTATCTTGTGAGCTTGACATCTTTGCTGGTCGACTCCCAAAATGAAGGACCCAAGAAAAAACGGTTCAACAAATTTTAAACTTTAGGTTTTGGTCTGTAGCTTTAGAATAATCAGTATCTTGATACCCCTGGAGGCACGGTATCAAGTACAAAGTGTTAGTCTTGAGTGGTTCTAATTTTATGAGATGGTTTTTGTAAGTCTAAGAGATCATTTAACTTTTTTTTCCATAGATTTCATTTACAAATCTGGTTTCAGTAGATGAGCGGCTTATTTATAAACCACATCCTCATGCGCCTGATAAGTAAGTGCCTTTGTCTTCCTATCTGTCTACCTAGTTGATTGCTTTTCAGTTGTTGGCTTTATCAACATCGTGTCTGTTTTGGTAGTAGGGAGCTGGGAAGAGGTTGGTCATGGGCTGTGACTTTTTTTTCCTAGAAAAGTATAACAAATTTACATTTCCCGAATAACACTGGGGATGTTCAGAGGCAATGAGAGATTGTCATGTGGCAAGACATGCAGCACAGTCCATTTCAAAGCAGCTGTTCTAATGGTGCATGTAAGAGCAAAAACCAAGGCTATAAAAGTCCCTGTTCCCTCCCCGCCACTGTCTGTCTCTCACTTCTGCTCTGTCCAGTCCATTAACCCTACACCTCCTCCTGCCTCTTTGGCTAAGTAGCATACTTATTTCAGATCATGCATTGGCTGCTGCTCTTGAAAGAGCTGTGTTTCATTTTGCAGGTAGTTACCATGCTGAGGCTTTTCTTCACTAGTCTTTCAAGGGAATGTGTCTTGGTAGTGTCATGAAGAGAACTGCGTTTTTTGAATGCCTTTCATCTACACGTTCCTATAGATCACTCTCATTCCTTTTATGCTCTGGGGATGGAAGAGGTTTAATAGCTAAGAGAGATGTGTGGTGATGGGGTTTCCAAAATGCTGGAATAAGGAGTCTGTAACTGCTCCCTCAAGAGATAGCTACTTAGACTATATTGCCAGGGAGCCAGATATGCAGGTTTGCATAGTAAGATCAATGGAGATGGTGTGTTTGGAGGAAAACTTCACTTTGATAAGAAAACTATTTTATTGTCATATAATGCAAAAAATAAGTAAAGCTGTTTGGTTTTTTTGCCTCAGAACCATTTTGACTCAAGAAGCAATAATATCTGTGAAAGGGGTCAGTCTCAGCAGTTACCTAGAAGGATTAATGGAAAACACAATCTCTTCCAATGCCAATAAAGTAAGTATTATACATACTTTAATCCAAAAGTCCTTTGCACATGCTGGCTTCCTGAGTTATGTAATAGAAGTTAACCTTTTTGTAATTCTTCATATTAACTTTACTTTTGAGAGATTTCATAGACATTAGGGCTGGAGATGCCAGGGCTTTCCAGAAAGTAACAGTATGAATCATTTCTTAAAACACAAATCCTGTCACAGAACTCCATGTTCAGTCTCCCATCCCTGATTTTTGCATCTTCACTTAATAACAGTAGTAACAAAGCTCAATTATTCTAATTTTATACAAAGGTGACAAAATAAACAAGTCTTAGTGTAATTAGTGTGGGCACATCTACACATGCAATTAATGCCACTGACTAAACTCCAGTGCAGATTGAGCCAGAGTAAACTAATCCGGATGTCACTGCCTACACGTGCATTTATAATTTATTATATATAAAGCACGGTAATTTTATTCCACCTTTGGATAGTACTTGTGTCTGACGGGACTATCTGACCGCAGTAAATTAGTCTACACCAGCCTAATTGCCATGTACATGTAGATGGTGAACAGAAAATTATTCTACTGCACTGTAAAGCGCACGTGTAGATATGCCCAGTGTCTGCTTGGTAAAATCCCGTATTGTTTTTCTCTTATTGAATGGGACATTGAGGTTTATTACTGTCAATGTGAACCTTGCTGTCGGAACTGTCCACGGGACTGACATCTCCAGATTACTTTGCAGGCTAAATCTATCCTTCTCCACTGTATAAGATATCATCCAGAACCTTCACCTAAGAAATAACTAACAAGACAAACAGGAAGCAGTTTTTAATAGGTGCTGTTTCTGCTTTAATTGGCACTTTATAAGTCTAAAGTGATTTTTGAACTGAGCTATCAGGAAAGTAGACTTGAAAAAAGCATCCTTGCACATCGTGATTTTAGTACCATCAAATTCAGGAGAATATTCATCAAATTAAAATCTGAACGTATTACCTTCTCATTCTGGTCTTTCACTTTGGTGGTTGAAGTGATGTATGTTGTGAGATCTCAGATGACATTGTCAGTTCTGTGAACTAAACTTTTCACTTTTTGTTTAAAGTTTGATTTTGTTTCATTGCACATGGCTTTAATCTCACCTGCATGTTAGATACTGTGATGGAATACAAAAATATAGGGACGTACTCATTTGCTATGAGTCTTCCAGAAAATATGCTGCCATGTTAACACACTTATGAAAATCTCATTCTCATTTAATGTGTTTGTTTTTTAATTGCAGGGTCGTGAGGCACTAGAATGGGTAATCAATAAATTGAATGCTGAAATTGAGGAGTTCACAGCTTCAGCAAGACAAAGCATGAGGACTTCTATGGCAGCAGCAGCATTTGCAGAGAAATGACAGCAAATATACATTTATAAATTACTAGTTAGGTCTGTGTGTCTGAAATAAGGAACCAAAAGCTCCTCTTCAAACTGAAACATATTTATTGTTATGTTTTGTTATTTAAGGGCATATCTATGTATTGGCTAGGTTTTAAGGTAAAACTTTGGAGAGAAGTAGCAAGTTCTTGTGAATGAGGGTAACGTGTAGGGATTTAACTAATATGTTGGTTCAACTAGACTGAACATTCATTTCATATGAAATAATATCTTAAGAATTCAAAGGTAGTTCCTGTATTTACAGGAATGCTTATCAGTTTAAAATGACTCCTAATATAAAATAGTCTCTGTAGATAAGGTTACAGACATTGGAAGAGATTGATGTGATAGTGATTCCTACTTGAGTAGAATTTAGTGTTATTTTATTCTTGGACTCTACCTCTTTGGGGACCAAACCCAAGATTAAGAAAAAATGCCTTGTTCAAGCAAGCTCCATTGTATTTGTTTTGGGCAGCTGTGTGATATAACTTGCTATAAATAGAAGATTTATTACTTGAAGCCTGAAATGCAAATGAATGCAAAGCTTGTTTTTTGGATAAACTTGCTACAAGTTCTGGTCGGACAGCTGATTTGAAATGGTACTTTAAAAGTAAACTATATCCATCAAACGATTTCTTAATATTTACAAGAAGTGTCATCTCACATATTTTGAATAGTGCTCATCTCTGAGGCCAAAATTTTGCCTTTAAATACTACATTAGTAGGAGTTGCCTGCCATAACTGAGGAAGAATTTAGACCAAAATACTTTTATCTTTTTAGTTCAGCCTTGCAGTAACAGAACCTCTCTATTTAGAGGAGAACTATAATCTTAGAAGAATTTTTAAATGTAATTTTATAGACAGTTAAACTTTGTAGAAAAGTTTTAATTTATTTTGAAATTTTGCAACATAACTCAAATTTAAATTCTTAGATTAACTTGGTCGAGGTGTATTCTCATTTGTAGGTAACAATAAACAGGGTTAGCAAAAGTAAGTTTACATTAATCATGCTTCAGAATTTTTCAGTTAAACATGGAGTCAAACTATTTGAATGCCATTTCAACTAAACATAGCATCTAGCATTAAATTTTAGTTTAATGCTCTGGATTCTCTTATCTTTTTTATTATTGAAATAAATACTTACAAACAGGGCATTTTAAATGAAGGATTTAGGGATCAAAATCAGTAGGTAGTTTAGTTTCTTGGCACTAAGTTCCCATACATAATCACTAAAGGTCAGATTTTGCTAACTACTCAAATAGCAAATTTCTCTGTAGGTAAGCTCATTGACTTCTATGGTGGGGACGTGTAGTAAAAAAACATGAAAAGGGGTAGGGGAAATGTAGTACTATAGAAACAGATGTAGGATTTAGTTGGCAATCTTGCCAACTGGTGCCAAACGGTCCATCTGGAGTTTCAGACCTAATCATACAGGTGTCATTTTTGTTTAGTCTTTCAGAAGAGCTGATATTGCCTGTCAGGCAGTATTTCTGTTACATGCTAATAAAGTATTGTCTGTTCAGTGGTACAGAGCTAGAGTCTATTCGCTGAATATTACTTGGTATAGATGAGAAGACAACATTCTACACCTGCATGTAGGAATAAAGACTAGTGAATGTGCATAAAGCAACACTTAGAAGAGTTTATTCACTGTAAATTTAATATTTTTCTACTTAAATAATAAAGATTCAGTTCAAAACCTAATACATTTGTAAAAAAATCATTAAGTTTTGTGACTTTTTACACCTGGAGATTGTTCCTACAATTAATTTAACTAAAGGTCAAAATGTTCATACTTAAACTTGTGTAATAATTTATGTGAGTTCTTCTGATAAAGATGCAATACTGTTCCTAAACTTGTCTGTTGAAAGCATAAACCAAGCTTAATTTTTATATTTCAAATTCAAACAACTAATTTCGCTGTATTAAGAGCCCTCTAATTCAAACTGGCAATTTGGTCTCATTTTTTTCAGTGCAAGTTTTATCATTTTTATCAATATTCAGAAACCATTTAAAAGATTGAGTCTCTTGTTTCTTAATTGTGTGTGTGTGTTCCTGAGAAATGAAGCAGTTTTGTGTGACTATTTTAAACAAAACAATGGCGAAATCTGCTAGTTTCTAAAATCGCATGATCCATTGGATACTTTTTAACTGTACTTTAGAATGAGGCAGATTATTTTCATTGTGCTGGAGGAATTAAGGAAAACATTACCCATTGCAGGGGATGGGTGTCAGCACTAGTTCAGCTGTACAGATTTAAATGCAACATTAACTCAGGGTACCATTGCTTCAGAAAACATGCTTGAAACCAGCTTTAACCATGATTTCCTCCAACAGTGCACTTGCTGTTTTCAGCACTTGCGGTTAAAATGTGTACAGCCCAGCCCAGCCCAATCCCAACAACAAGTTCACTACAACTTTCTAAAAGTCACCATTGATAGGTACTCTGCTCCAAGGAAAGCTCAGCCTGTAGTGGAAGTTCAAAATCAAGTGTACGATAGAAGTAAGCAAGTGCCTGCAAAGAGAGTTCATGGAAGAACTGGGTTATTTTAGAGCCCTCTGAGTCTGGTGGGAAGGGGAAGAAGGTAGGCTACTCCTGCATTTGGGAACAGTTTCTTTTTCAGGGCACTTGACACCTCTTTAAATTTTGCCATAAAATGTAATGCTTCTAACTCTAAAGCTGTGATGCAATATAATACAATACCTCACCCTTCGGTGGATAGAATATAAAACTACATGTTGCTACAGACTGATAAATTTATAAGGCCACTTTAAAAACACCTAGAAACTCATCAAAATTATTTCAGGAAGGAATTTCTGTTAACTTTCTGGTTACCACCCACAACAGAATATAAATATTGGTATCACAGGTATGTTCCCTGCAGCCCATGTGCCTAATCTTGCTACCACTGAAGTAAATCGAAGAGACCTGAGCTCAAGAAAATTCCTCGAATTTGCTGGACTTCAGGCAAAGACACTTATTTATGGTGTTGGTCC